AGACGATATACAAAGGCCCTCCTATCTAAGATGATTTTAATAAAAATAAATAAACTCAGAAATAGCATGTCGGTTTAATGTTGTACATCTTTCTTTACTTAAGCCTAAGACTTATTTGGGCCCTTCTTAAAGTTTGTTGAGGCCCCCTGTTTGAAAACTACTGATTTAGTCCAATCTGTTCTACAATCAAAAATCATGCCCCTGGTCTATTATGTTCAAAATAGCATCGGTTTCATGCCCTATCCCATGATCCCATATCCCTTTTCCTACTGATATTATGAATGTCTCGGGATGCTCTTGTCTTTCTGTTGTTTAGAAACTTAATTCTGACCTCAGAAACCCGAGCTTTGTGACTCAAGGTCGCAGTGTGTTTCCAGCAGATTGGCAGTGCCCGGGGCAACGCAATCCATCTGGGAACTGGCAGTTTCATTCACTTCTGTGCAATATGGGGCACCTGGATGGAAAGCGTGGACTGCGATTGATATCTCAACTGTGTTTGAAGCTCTGAAACAGGACGGAAATGTTATTACACAGTGACATGCCTTATTTTATAACTGCGTGTGCATTTAAATTTTTTTTAACCATAAATCTGCCTTAAAGAATTTTAAGAGATGTTATCCAGAAGACCAAACTGTGGATATAAAATATACTATTGATTTGATGAATATTACATAGTGTGAGGGGAAAACAATAACTGAGGAATATAAACCAGCTATGAGAAGGTGTGATAAACACTGTTATCTTTATTCAGGGGGTCAATATACCCATATGAATACACCCATGGTATGTTTCTCAAAGTCTGGGACATATTAGAGGTGAATTTCTTATTGTTTCTCCATTAAATATTATATGAATTAATACTGATTTGATGCAGCTGGCGTTTGAGTTGAGTTTTAAGGCCTACTTTTGTTTTAATGTTAATCTATTTCAGGTGATTTATTACAGCAAATGTTTTCCAGCCAAGATCAGTGAATATTCTCTTTTTCTAGACAATATTGTTGTTATTGACAATATTTAATTACCAGTTTTGTAAAGGCATTTGGTGAATTGAATTTGAGTTATTCCTAAGCTCTTCCTTTGGGTTAATAAAGCAGCATGAAGTTGATCCAAGGCTTCATTAACTCCAGAAAAGCATTTATTTATTGCAGAAGGTGACATTTAGTCCAGTGCTTCTCACACGTTTTGACTACAAGGCCCATCTTTTTCTAAGACGATATGCAAAGGCCCTCCTATCTAAGATGATTTTAATAAAAATAAATAAACTCAGAAATAGCATGTCGGTTTAATGTTGTACATCTTTCTTTACTTAAGCCTAAGACTTATTTGGGCCCATCTTAAAGTTTGTTGAGGCCCCCTGTTTGAAAACTACTGATTTAGTCCAATCTGTTCTACAATCAAAAATCATGCCCCTGGTCTATTATGTTCAAAATAGCATCGGTTTCATGCCCTATCCCATGATCCCATATCCCTTTTCCTACTGATATTATGAATGTCTCGGGATGCTCTTGTCTTTCTGTTGTTTAGAAACTTAATTCTGACCTCAGAAACCCGAGCTTTGTGACTCAAGGTCGCAGTGTGTTTCCAGCAGATTGGCAGTGCCCGGGGCAACGCAATCCATCTGGGAACTGGCAGTTTCATTCACTTCTGTGCAATATGAGGCACCTGGATGGAAAGCGTGGACTGCGATTGATATCTCAACTGTGTTTGAAGCTCTGAAACAGGAAGGAAATGTTATTACACAGTGACATGCCTTATTTTATAACTGCGTGTGCATTTACATTTTTTTTTAACCATAAATCTGCCTTAAAGAATTTTAAGAGATGTTATCCAGAAGACCAAACTGTGTGGATATAAAATATACTGTATGAATATATGAGAAGCAGCATTCTAGTTATTTAAAATGTAAAAAAAAACGGTGTGCTGTGATTGGCCAGCTATCCAGTGCGCTGTGATTGGCCGAATGCCTCAAGCGTGTGACGGAAATGTTACGCCCCTTACCATATTGTGATTCCCTGTCCGGCAGGAGCGAAGAGACAAAAACATTAAAATCCATTATAAACGAGGCATTTGTTGCATCCAGTGCGGACATAATTACAGATTATAATGATTTATACTGTCTTTTTACACGTTGCGTTGCATTGCGCCACGTAAACATAAAACCATGTCTGCATTTGTGATCGGAGAAATGACAAACAACAAGCACTACTCTACACTGCCCAAAACTCGCGTTTGAATCATCAGTGGCAAATCCTTTAAATATGAAAAACATACTTACAGTCTGTGAGTCAGAACAGCCGGCAGTCTAGAGTGAGCGGAGGCCGGGGGGCTTGCGGCAACCACATGTGACGACCCCGGGCTGGACTCTGCTTCGTCCACGGTGAAAGCCGATCCGGCGATCCACAGCGCGAAGTTGATGTATTTCCTCAGCGACCAGCACGGATCAGCTCTAGGCATGACGAAGCGGATATCATCCTCTTTTGGAAGGCCAAACAAAGTAGTTTCGCTTTCACAACGAAACACACGACAACAATACTACAGAAAGAATCAAAGTTATGCCTTCTTTCTTTGCGTGAACATTTGTGCGCCGTTATGCAAATCTTCCCACATCGTGACGTAGACATGTGGGGGCGTGTTAGAACAAACCTTTTAGGTAGGCGTGGTTAACTCTTAAATTTTATAAAGAATATCTCTTTGGATTTGAGACTTTGCAAGTCTTTGCAACTTTACAGATCTTCTTTATGCACAAAGAGCTTGTAACACTCCAAAGAGAAAGGAAAAATTGAAATCGCATCATACGACCCCTTTAAGAAAATCGGTAGTGGAAAAAATGGACACGAAGACCTATGTAGGCATATCGATCATTTGCTGTGGTAGATCGTTTGTTTCTGCAGTTACAAAGGAGTTTTTGTCAGTTTGTTGGCTTTGAGCTTAAAACATCGATTCCCTTTGAGCTATTTTAGTGTGTTTATGTGAAACGGAGAGAAAATTACCGAAACTGAGCGTGTTAACGGACTCCCAAATAAACAACACATAACCTTGAGCAGGCGTAGCTGTGTAACTATGTGGTTAAACTTTCAGTTTACACTTTACCCGTTCCCGTTTCTGATGACTTTCTTTATTTAAGGGGAAGATTTGGGGCCTCGTTTCAGCTGAGATTCAGTTGCCTTTCAAGCGGACCGCTCGGTTGCCAAGCAACGCCGTCAGGTTGCTGCCTGCGACAGTTGCAGCTCGTTGCGTTTTCTCTCTCTCGCTCGTTGACAGCTATGGTTGACACACAGTCTGAATGGTTTTGCAAGCAGAGCCTCTGCGAACGGCAGCTGTAGTTTCTTAATGAGTGAAGTAAAGTTCCTTCCCTAACTGTGGCAATTGGTAAGAGCAACATCTGCTGCACATTGCATCTCCTACAGGCCATTGTACATCGATATACACTCGTGAGAAGGATAATCTGACCAAGATATGGGTCACAAATAACAGTTCTTGTCTCCTCACTAGTGTATTTATAAATAAACGAACCCTCCTTGCATTTCTAGCCTTAGTATGTTTGTTTATAACTGGTAGAATAGCATACTTGCTACTTTTTCTTTAGGCTAACGCTAAGTAGGATCAGTGATATTTTATGGTATTATATTATTTATGGTGAATTGATGTAAATTGGGACACTTTTTGCCTTTAAGTCGACTGGGGAAAATGGCCCAATTAACCTGAGTTAACCCTGCATACTGTTATAGTTTTCACTTTTCAATCAATTTTAGTTCAAATGTTAGCAATTGTATGTGCATATGCATATGCATGTGCATATGTGTATGTTCAGCTTGATTTTTTAGTTCAGTTGTAGATTTTGTGCTTTGACATATTTCAGTTAGGGAAACATTTATACATTTGAATTACTATCATTTCTAATGTTTAGGTAATCTATCATTTTTATTTGATCAGTAATATAGCGACCACTACAAATGTTACTCTTTGCTATTTATTTATATTTGTTAATGTGTATTTGTATTTGTTACTATTTGATAATAAACTTAAATAGTAGCATTAAAAATGGAAACCACTACAAAATGATCAGTTTCTCTGTATTTGCTATTTATAGGTATGTGTTTGAGTAAATTGAAAAGTTTTGTTATATTCAGCAAAAAAAAAAAAAAAATACAAAAAAAGATACATGGTCAAAATATCAATAATGCTTTCAGACCTTGAATAATGCCAAGAAAACAAGTTCATATATATATATATATATATATATAACTACTAATGTTTTAACTTGACTTCAGAAATAAATATTTGGTGCAATAACTCCAATCACAGCTTTAATGTGTCATTATTTGAGGAATGAAAACATGGCATATTATTTATTATTTTGGGTTGTCATTTTCTACACATAAATGAATAAACAATATTTGTATGTGGAATCGGTGAGAAATGTTGTAATTTCTCTAGTTTACAGAATAAAACAAAAATGTTTATTATTATTATCATCATCATCATCATCATCATTTTTATTTATTTGTAATGATTTTTTCCAGAGCTGCATAGAATGAAGGCTTAAAATAATAAAATATGAATCCTTGATAATATTTAATAAAAATATTTTTTTCCCCCAGAGCTGTATAGAATGAAGGCTTAAAATAATAATCCTTGATAATATTTAATCAAATTAATTAAGTAATAATTAACTAAAATAATTAGTACAAATAAAATGAATAATTAAATAAAATAATAATAAGAGTGAAATTGAATGAAATATATTACTATAAATATCTTACATCAAAATGTCTTATACCAAACTTACTTTTGGTTTTTAATGTGTTACTTTGCAGTCATCATGCACCCAAAATGTATATCAGTGCAAAAAGCATCAAGATGTTCTCAAAAGCCAGCTGAATTGAATCTGTGAGACAATGGACCACACAAAGCAATCGCACAGTTATCAGATGAGAGAAGAGCTAACTGAGGTAAAAGATAAAGGGGGAGCAAGAGAGCCTGAGCGAGTGAGCGAGCGAGAGAGAGCGAGGGGGAAGGAAGGAGGGAAGGGAGGCGAGAGGAAGAGGGCACGCAGTAAACGGCACATAATGCACAGCGAGTAACGGGAACGTAAGCTGTCAGTGTCCTGAGCTGCACACAGATCTCATTAAAGGTAAGCAGAGCAATGCTTTCTGTGTGTTTGAATGATCATGCTGAAATACCCTTGATGCTGTGCAGGGTTTCAAGCTTTGTTTTGTGAGGAGGAGACAATAAGAAACAGAGCAGAGGAGAGAGGGAGAGAACTGCACAGTTGTTCAGGAAGAGCAATAAATCATCTGTAAGCAGTTTAGACGGTGATTTCTGCTGTTGTTTAGAGGGATATTGAACTGATCTGTGTGTATTTGTGTGTGTGTGTGTGTTTCAGGATGTATCAACCGTTGCAGCACAGTGTGTGTGGAGCCTGACATTCCTCGCAGGGCTGTGTGTGATTGTCCCTCCTGTTTTCTGACCATTATCACTGCGCCTGCTTCATTGGCGAGCGTGTGTTTGGACATCTAACCCCCCTTCAACCCCCCAGTTCCTGAGGCCTGTCGCCACGACAACCATGGACTGCGGATTGCGCCTGCCGCCTGTCATTGAGGAGGTCTTGGATCCTGCAGGTGTGTGTATGTGTGTGATGCATCTACAGGTGTTCATTTGTGCATTGGTGCATGGAAATAATTATTGTTTTCTCTCCCCCTATACCTGCATCTGCATTGTTATCTGGTCTGTCATGAGGCAGAAGGTTGTTTGGAAGGATGAGACGGTCTTACTGTCTTTGCCTGATGTTAAATAGAGACAGAGAGAGCAGTATCAGTGTCAGTCAAAGGAAAGGTTACGTGTGTATCTTGGTGAAGACAGATATGTGTAGGTAAACAACAAACCTCAAAACCTCAGACACTGATATTATGATGTGATGGTGGTTTTCTGTTTACAAGTCATCTAGTGCAAGTAAAATTGTGTTAGATATTAAGATTTATTTTCAGATAACATGTTTTGAGTTAAATTAATGTTTCTTAAGTCATTGGACATTTTTTTTGTTTTTGAAATCGAATACAATTTAGTTAATTTTTTATGCTTATTTCACTATTATTAAATAATAATAATAATTTGCCAATGGGGTAAAAATAAACCCTGAGAAACAGAATTCTTAGCATGTTTTAATGATCTTTTTTGACAATTTTTTTAGGTGTTTTATTTATTTATAAACATGGATTAGGATTGTTTAAAAAAAAAACATAAATTATGGCAACAATAAATAATAATAATAATAATAATAATAATTTGTAATGCCTTCAATATTATTGTTATTATATTATTATTATTATAAATTTATCTATGTGGATTATTATTATTATTAATAATAATAATCTATCCATGTGTATTATTCTTATTCTTATTAACTTAAAAATGGAATTGCAAAAAAGAAAATAATAATAATAATAATAATAATTTGTAATCTATCTATGTGTATTATTATTATTAATCTATCCATGTGCATTATTATTTTTATTAACTTAAAAAAGGAATTGCAATAATAAGAAGAATAAGAATATGATAAGATTAAGAATTTGTTATCTATCTATGTGTATTCTTATTCTTATTAACTTAATGGTTAATGGAATTAGATGGAATTGCAAAAAACAAAACAATAATAACATTTTTAAATACTTTTGGGGAATACACTTTTTTTTTAAATTTGCCTCTCCATATTAAGAGATAGGAAAAGTATTCAAAATAATAATAATAATAATCTTTAAAAAAAAAGTTATTTACGAATTACTCTCCATCATAGCTCTCAATAAACATTGATTCTCATGCTTCTCATAACTAATCTTGTCAACCAACCACGTTTGGTGTACTGTGGTCTGCTTGTGTGTGTGTCTACTTGTAAATGAAGCCTGTTTTGTTTTCACATGCTGTATATTTGCAAGTAAATGGAGTAGCTTTGTTACTATAGATGGAAAGGCTTTGAAGACGTGCAGCGAGGGATGATGGGAAACCAAATACTGACTTTCAGATATGTTGCATGCTCACTGGGGTGTTGTTATGAAACTATTATGTTTTGAGTGTTTGGGCGCATACATTTATATAATGCTGCAGATTTCTCCTTGGAAGGGCTTTTATGTCTTAAATAGCTGTTGTCTGAGGACTGGAGGGATTGTTTTAAATTGTGCGTCTGATCAAAAGCAGTGCCATATGTGATCTTCAAAGCTTCAGTCCCACCTTCTCTATCTCCATTGCTCCTTTCCCAGAGAACCTCGCCTCCTGTGACAAGACGCACAATTTTACTTGATCTTATATGGTATTACCGCTGTAAATTGGGACATATGCTTCTGTAGGTGGACCTGAGATGGAGAGATAGATTGAAGGAGGTTTAAAAGCTCCTACGGTGTTTGGGGAGCAAGAGAGGATCATTTTAACACAGCACTTCGATGTCACACTCCTTATTTGCAGTGCTTCCATGACAATTCCTTCTAAATGCCCTGCTGATTTAGCCAGCAGTGATGGTGCTGCCTACCTCTCCTCCATCCACCAGACACCCACATGTTCCACATTATTCGAGTGCCACTTGCATTCCCTGTCCGCCCCCGGATGATGAAAACACACGTTCTTTCTCTCACCGCCCACATTCTTGGTGCCATAGCATTTACAAAGTATAGGTCCAGTCAAACCCAAAACTTTTTGCTACCGCAGTTCATTTACATATAGAGGCCCTTTCTCATTTCATGCCTGTTTGAGTCTTTGTTCATGCGAGTTGTCTTAGAAAACTTCAGTGAGTATCAACGTCAAGAGATCGAATGTTAGGAATTTCTATGCAGTCTGTTTTTTTCTTTTCACTCTGATAGAGAAGTCAGTTTTCGACTCGTCTCTCAGTTTGTTAAATCTGCACTCACAATAGAAGTCAATGGTGCATTGCAACAGGAAAAATGTTAAAATACAATGCACACTATTGTGAAAGTATAACAAGACCTACATTATGCATCTCATCATCTCAGTATGAGATAAGTGTAGTTGCATCATGCTAGTCACAAATTTATTGTTTGAGTTTATGCTTATTAACCTTGTCTGTGCAAAGTTTATTTAGCCTAAATTTTCAACTCTTGTCATGACCATAAAGTTATTTAAAGAAATCGAAATTGCTGAAAATTTTCACACCCTCATCCCATCCAAGATGTAGATTAGTTTGTTTTTCGTTAGAACAGATTTGGAGAAATTGAGCTTTACATCACTTGCTCACCAAAGGATCCTCTGATGTGAATGGGTACCGTCAGAATGAGAGTCCAAACAGATGATAAAAACATCACAGTAATCCACACAACTCCAGTCCATTGGTTAATAAAAATCTACATGTTTGTTAGAAACAAATCCATCATTAAGATGTTTTTAACTTCAAACTGTTGTTTTTGGCTAAAATAAAAGTCTTCTGCTTTCTCCAGTAAAAAAATGACATCTTGTCAGAATCAGGAGAGAAATATGCACAGATTAGGCACAGTTTAAAGCAAAAACAGTCCTAAAAAAATATTTATCAGCTGTTTGGACTCATTCTGACGGCACCCATTCACTGCAGAGGAGCCGTTGATGAGCAAGCGATGTAATGCTAAATTTCTTGCATGGCCTGAGAGCGAGTCCATTTTCAGCAAATTAAAATTTTTAGCCGAACTATTCCTTTAACCTATTACTTTCACATAAAATGCAGAAAGATACCAGAAAGGGACTGTTTGCATATCATCTACATAGAATAGTCATTTAAAATGAGATTTTGGACAACTTTGCAGCTCAAAAGCATTTTAAAAATGCCTTGCGTCAAAGACTTTTCCTCAAGTGTGCTTTTACTATACACATTTTGTTTGTTTATACAATCTGAAGGATCTACAGAAGTTATTTTCTTTGATAAGTGACAGCATGCCACAAATTTTTATTTTGAACCAGAACATTCCTTCGTTCTTGTTTATATGTTGTGGAGGTTTACATGCATTGACGTCTGAACTCCAAATGACACAAACAAGGCATACTGCAGTTTTCCTTCCTCCAAATCCTCCTCTCCTCCTTCCTGCGGGTTTCCTCCCTCTGTCGCTTGCTGACCCCATCTCGGATGTGAGGAGTGGCTCTTTAGAACGTTCCAGAAGAGCTGACGGCAGGAATCTCAAGGGCAGTTCAAGTGAGATCACGCTCGGTTAGCAAGAAAAGTTACATGCAGAGAGAGATAGTGTGTACGCGCCGCGCGGGTAAGTGAGGGCCCACACACACAGAAAAAAACTTTCTCATGAGCAAGAGCTCAAGGAGTCCACAGAGAGCTCCTACTTTGAGAGTATGAGAGATCCAGCTCACTTTTCTTTCCTCCTATTTTTCTGCTGTGTGTGTGAGTTTTGTGTGCTTTTTCTCAAAACATTAAATCCGAACATGACCCATTTTACTTTTCTAATTCATCATTGTTCTAAAGGAAAAAAGGCTGTTCTTCATAATCTTTCATCAAAAGTTTCTCCACATCTGAAATTACTTTTCTGATGATGTAACCCAGATTGCATAGATGGGGGGAAAATATTATTACCCCACTAGATTTTGGCAAAAACTCACTGGCATTATGCTGGAGGGGTGCCAGGACATTTCTATGTGGTTGTTAAGGTGATCTGAGTGGTTTATAATGTTGCTGTGTGGCTACTAGGCTGTTTTAAGGGGTTTCTGACTGTTCAATGTCAACTCAAGCATCACTTTTGCATTCATGTGCTTAAAGGTGCAGTATGTAATATTGACAGCTAGGGGTTGAAATGGGTACTGCTGTCTAAATTCTAAATATTGGAGAGAGTTGTTTTTCCTGCCCCTCCTCCTCAGATGCGATGCTCACACGGGTTGCCAGGTTGAGGACACTTAACAGGAATGCACGCAATTGAGAATGGAAGGTGACGAGTCCTACTCTGTAAGTTGATGAGTTGATTTATCCGCATTTTAATATGTCTCTGGTCATAGAGATTTTTAGATGGATGCCAAGGCTTTTTTTTGGTTGGGTGGAATCTGCGATCTGTGATCCAGTTTGTTTGCTGGCTTGAAATGGCTGCTGTATTTTCCACCAACTGGCAACCCAGGTATTTGGTAAATTGGCAGTGGGCGGAATCACACGGTCCAAATCAAAAACAGACATTCCAACACGGAACACACATTTCAAAGTAGAATAGCTGGCTGTAGCATTGTATTTCAAAGAAACAAGTATATGAACTTATAATGTTTTCTAAATGTGCTTTAGTGCAGTCAAAAAAAGTACATACAGCACCTTTAATGCATTGCGATTACCATTACACCAAGTAAAAGTATTATAATTATTCACCATTGTTCTAATGTATAGCGTTTAATGTTCACTGAAAGATTGGTTTGGTGTTTTTTTACGTTATATAACTCTGATGACGAGGTTGTGCATGTAGTTTTTATGCATGTTAAATGCAAAAAGATACCAGTATGAAATATTGGGGCTTGGGCAGGGGGTTGTAACTTGTAACCATGACAACAAGGCGAGAGCGCGTGAACTCCTGCAAACTTGAACGTCATGCAGCTCCTCCTTTTGTGTCTGAAAACAAGTCTCGTTTTCCAGTGCTGCTTTCCTCTCCGTCTCCCTTTTTCCTCCTTT